AGTGTAGCACAAGATAAAGCTGTCCATGATCGGCCTTACCTACTTCTCCAGCCTCTTCCCTGCCCTCCAACCCTGTCCTCCAGCCATAATAATTACTTAAAAGTTACCTGAAGAAGCCTGACTGTTTCGTTCCTTTAAGCTTTTGTTTATGCTGTTTTCTCAGCCTGGAGTGTACTTCTCTCTCTCATCTGTAGGGTATATCCTTAACTCATCTTTCAAGACTCAGCTCAAATATCATCTCCTCTGGGAGGCACTTTCCAACCTCTGAATGTCCAAGGCAGAATTGACCTTTAGGCCCCCACTCTGCCCACTACATACCTCTAACACAATACCTATCACACTTCATTCCATCTATATACTGACACATCTCTCTCCTCCCACTAGACCCATAACCCCCTTGGACGTTGAGATCTTGTCTGACTCATCTGCTTCCTTAGTGCCTAAGACAGTGCTTACAAGAGACATTCAATGGATATTTGATGGAGTGGGGAGCAGAGGAACGGAAAACATGAAAGGAGGCAGAAAAACTCAAGTAAGATGGCCTGAAGAGTGGAGAATAGTAGTATTTATCAGTACCACTATCTTTGGCCTTCTGCTCTTTCCCTAAACTCTAGTCTTCAGAGAATTTATTCATCTTCTTGGCTACAGCTACCACATCTATGCTGATGAACTGCAAAACCACACTTTCAAGCATTATTAACCCCCACCTCTCCACCAGCTGTAGGCTCTTCTCTAACAACTGGAACACCTTTCATTTGGATGTTTCATTGCCACTTTAAATCCAAAACATCTCAAACTGAACTCATCATATTTCCCTAAGAAATGAGGAAACCTCCCTAACTTCTTTACCCCAGTCAGTATCTCAGAAACCCAGGCTTAAAATGCTATCGTTATGTTTGATTGAACACTCTCCATCATCTTCCACATCCAGCCCGCACTGATTTCAATTTTTTCCTTCACAATCTCTTTGTCACTCTTTCCCCTCCTTAACCCACCCTCCACAACTCTAGCTCAGGCCTCATCACCTCACACATCCCAGCTGCTAATCTCCCTTCCCTCCAAGCCAATCTATTTCCCAATATCATCATATTACAATCCTAATAAAAAATTCTCAGTGGTTAGCTATTTTCCATTGTTTAAGATCTAAACTTATAAGCCTGACTTTTAAGACCCTCTATAAACATAGCTCCAGACCATCCTAACCACCTGTGTTTTACTACTATTCACTGCGACTCAGGTCAGTCTCATCACTGCCCCAAGAACATTCCAAGTATATTCCTGTGCCCAGGCTTCTGCTTGATCCCTCTCAGCTCCAAATTTAAATGATTTTTTTGTTATTTGCTTCATTTTCATTTCTTGTACCTAATACAATTTTTTTTAAGATCTGGAGTAAGTCACAATTCCTCTGTGACATCACTCATAACTACCTGAGTACTCTTCTCCCAAAATACCTATGGTATGAGGTCTGTATTATGCAAATGATAATACACTTTCACACTTTAAATTTTTCTCTGGCATAAAGAGGCTCAATAGGTATTCATTCCTTCCTATTCCCCTTACTCCCAACTAGGCTGTAAATTCTTCAAGGGCACAAAACTGTCATTTTTCCTAATCCTCCATACCACTTAGTAGAACTAAATTCACAGCAGGTCACTAAAAATAACAGCTTAGTAGTCTCTCCTATCAAAAACTATTTCTTATAGTATAAGGTATAAGAGATAATCCTAAAAAACACAGTTAAAAATAATCCTGAACTAAACTGTATAAATTAAGATGACTGATTTTTCCACCTCTGAATTTTAGCTCAGAAATACTTCAATCTCCTGACTTAAGTGGTAAATAATAATCCTGTGCCCATGACATCACAAGCACATAGTTTGGTAATGATTATGAGAAGGCTGGGGGTAGGCAAGGATGAAGGAAAGCAAGTCAACTGAAAGAACAAGGATGGAAGAACAGCTGTGTGATTTTTTTTGTTTACTTCTTAAGTGTGGACTTCTCCTCATTCCTTTTTTTTTTTCTTAAATTGGCCACATTTTCAAACAAGTTTACTTCAGGAGGAAAAATCTAATAGATTTTCAAAGGAGCTAATATCTGAAGAGCCTCTACAAAGCCCAAGTCCTTCAAAAAAAAGCCAGCTTAATCTTCAACAATGCAGTATCATGCAGTAGGACTCTTCCAGATATTGTGAGTAAAGACTTATTCAGGCTGCAACATAGGCATCTTCTACCAATAGCTCTTAGGAATAAGGCAGACAGCCTGAGGCCACATTGGACACACACAGATTTTGAAAAGAAATTGGTCTTCATTAACATACTCAGTATAGCCCAGTCTTAATTACCCTCATATGGACTTTTCATTTTATGGATTTCTGAGGCAAAATCTTTAATTCAAGACTGACGTTTCTTCACCATCAGTATACTTTCCTCACTATCAGGTAATTCAGGCTTAGAAATGCCAATTCATTTCATCAGTATGATCCCCTCTTTCAAGACTCAGCTCAAATATCATCTCCTCTGGGAGGCACTTTCCAACCTCTGAATGTCCAAGGCAGAATTGACCTTTAGGCCCCCACTCTGCCCGCTACATACCTCTAACACAATACCTATCACACTTCATTCCATCTATATACTGACACATCTCTCTCCTCCCACTAGACCCATAACCCCCTTGGACGTTGAGATCTTGTCTGACTCATCTGCTTCCTTAGTGCCTAAGACAGTGCTTACAAGAGACATTCAATGGATATTTGATGGAGTGGGGAGCAGAGGAACGGAAAACATGAAAGGAGGCAGAAAAACTCAAGTAAGATGGCCTGAAGAGTGGAGAATAGTAGTATTTATCAGTACCACTATCTTTGGCCTTCTGCTCTTTCCCTAAACTCTAGTCTTCAGAGAATTTATTCATCTTCTTGGCTACAGCTACCACATCTATGCTGATGAACTGCAAAACCACACTTTCAAGCATTATTAACCCCCACCTCTCCACCAGCTGTAGGCTCTTCTCTAACAACTGGAACACCTTTCATTTGGATGTTTCATTGCCACTTTAAATCCAAAACATCTCAAACTGAACTCATCATATTTCCCTAAGAAATGAGGAAACCTCCCTAACTTCTTTACCCCAGTCAGTATCTCAGAAACCCAGGCTTAAAATGCTATCGTTATGTTTGATTGAACACTCTCCATCATCTTCCACATCCAGCCCGCACTGATTTCAATTTTTTCCTTCACAATCTCTTTGTCACTCTTTCCCCTCCTTAACCCACCCTCCACAACTCTAGCTCAGGCCTCATCACCTCACACATCCCAGCTGCTAATCTCCCTTCCCTCCAAGCCAATCTATTTCCCAATATCATCATATTACAATCCTAATAAAAAATTCTCAGTGGTTAGCTATTTTCCATTGTTTAAGATCTAAACTTATAAGCCTGACTTTTAAGACCCTCTATAAACATAGCTCCAGACCATCCTAACCACCTGTGTTTTACTACTATTCACTGCGACTCAGGTCAGTCTCATCACTGCCCCAAGAACATTCCAAGTATATTCCTGTGCCCAGGCTTCTGCTTGATCCCTCTCAGCTCCAAATTTAAATGATTTTTTTGTTATTTGCTTCATTTTCATTTCTTGTACCTAATACAATTTTTTTTAAGATCTGGAGTAAGTCACAATTCCTCTGTGACATCACTCATAACTACCTGAGTACTCTTCTCCCAAAATACCTATGGTATGAGGTCTGTATTATGCAAATGATAATACACTTTCACACTTTAAATTTTTCTCTGGCATAAAGAGGCTCAATAGGTATTCATTCCTTCCTATTCCCCTTACTCCCAACTAGGCTGTAAATTCTTCAAGGGCACAAAACTGTCATTTTTCCTAATCCTCCATACCACTTAGTAGAACTAAATTCACAGCAGGTCACTAAAAATAACAGCTTAGTAGTCTCTCCTATCAAAAACTATTTCTTATAGTATAAGGTATAAGAGATAATCCTAAAAAACACAGTTAAAAATAATCCTGAACTAAACTGTATAAATTAAGATGACTGATTTTTCCACCTCTGAATTTTAGCTCAGAAATACTTCAATCTCCTGACTTAAGTGGTAAATAATAATCCTGTGCCCATGACATCACAAGCACATAGTTTGGTAATGATTATGAGAAGGCTGGGGGTAGGCAAGGATGAAGGAAAGCAAGTCAACTGAAAGAACAAGGATGGAAGAACAGCTGTGTGATTTTTTTTGTTTACTTCTTAAGTGTGGACTTCTCCTCATTCCTTTTTTTTTTTCTTAAATTGGCCACATTTTCAAACAAGTTTACTTCAGGAGGAAAAATCTAATAGATTTTCAAAGGAGCTAATATCTGAAGAGCCTCTACAAAGCCCAAGTCCTTCAAAAAAAAGCCAGCTTAATCTTCAACAATGCAGTATCATGCAGTAGGACTCTTCCAGATATTGTGAGTAAAGACTTATTCAGGCTGCAACATAGGCATCTTCTACCAATAGCTCTTAGGAATAAGGCAGACAGCCTGAGGCCACATTGGACACACACAGATTTTGAAAAGAAATTGGTCTTCATTAACATACTCAGTATAGCCCAGTCTTAATTACCCTCATATGGACTTTTCATTTTATGGATTTCTGAGGCAAAATCTTTAATTCAAGACTGACGTTTCTTCACCATCAGTATACTTTCCTCACTATCAGGTAATTCAGGCTTAGAAATGCCAATTCATTTCATCAGTATGATCCCCAAAACACTAAAATAAGTCTGGTTTTTAAAATAATGCATTTTCAAACCAAGAAATTTCTTTCTGAAGTTCTGAATTACCTAAACTAGTGCTCCCTACAATAGCAGAGATGACTGGTTTTTAAAATAATGCATTTTCAAACCGAGAAATTTCTTTCTGAAGTTCTGAATTACCTAAACTAGTGCTCCCTACAATAGCAGAGATGACTGAAAGTTCAATGCACTGGAAACATGACACTGCCCTTACCATAAGCTCTTGAAGAGAATCCAGACATAGCCTTGAGACTTCCCCACAGGTTGGTACAACATCAGACAGTCACAAGCAGAGCTCAACATAGTGAGTAAGGTGTGTAAATACAAAAATTTCTACAAGGAATCTTATGTCTCCTGGCTGATCTCTTTAGGCCAGGATGGTCCAGAAGAGAAGTAGGAGAGTCACAATTTACCAGTGCCTGACTCCTTGTCCCTGAGTTCTTGGATCAGAGGGCTCAATACTTCTCATTAAATCCATCCTTTGTTCAAGGACCTACAATGACTCTATTGACCCTTTCATCAACACCCAACAGAGTCTGGCATCCATCTGAGTCCCCGCCACCCTCTCGCCTGCTCTACCCATGACTTGACCAACCCACATTCTCTCCAGTCATTCTCATTTATTCTCCCCACAAACACAACTTAGTCATTCATACCATCATTGCACACTGTACATTCTATACTTTCTGCCCAGAAGATCTTTTATCTCCTTTTACTCCTAACACAGAATAATTATTTTATTTATTGGAATGCTCACACCTATTATATAGATAAGGATGGAGAAGTAAATTGCCCAAGGTCACATTAGTAAAAAGTAGAACCACAAGTTGAACCAAGATCATCTAACTCCATAGCCCATGCCTCATTATGACTCTAATCCATAGCCTCCCAAGTCCATTTCAAATTTTACTGACTCAGAAATCTTCCCTAATTTACTTCATTCATACTTTGTTACTTCGAATTTTCTAGTCTCTACATACTTCATTTGTAGCACATTAAACTTGGTTTTGTTTATATGTTTTTTCTTAAATGTTAAAGCTTATAATAGTCTGCTTTCTCATTTACATACTGCCTTCCCCAACATCACCCTTGTCCCAAGGGCAAGAACACCTGTTTTTACAACTTTTATATCTCCCCAAAGCCTGTCACTGACACTTGGAAACTGCCTTATCCACAGGAGTGTTCAGTCATTATTCAGCAAGGATTTATAACTTAAAAAAAAAAATCAACTTCCTTCTTCTATCATATTAAAAAATCAACTAATTTCAGGCATTCATGATAAAACTGTCCTGCATCTGCATTCTAGTTACACAGATTTTAATTGTCTGACTTATCAGGGGCTGTTGAAAAGATTCCAGGCTGCCATTCCACAGCTCCTAAGTTTGCATAGGAAAGATATTGCTGAAGTCACACTTCAAAGCATTGTTTCAGGATTTTTCCCTTGATGGGATGAATGTCTGGCGTAAGGAGAACGTGTGTTCCCTTATAAAGTCCTCTGCCAGCATACTTAGCATGCTTGAGACATTCAGGAGCTCTAAAACTTTAACAAGTGGCACTTAGTGCCCCCGTAACAGTCTGAAAACTTATTTTTAATACTGAGTTATTCCATCATAATTCACTTAGTTACATATATATTGAATCTCAAAATTCCAAACAAAGCCTTCTGAGAACTGAAAACAGTGATGGGCTATTGGGCTGCCCTACACTTATTCCGAGAGTTTATTCACTCCTTCAATCCCCACCCCTAACCCCTGGAATAATATATGTAGTTCAACTAGGGGAAGTTGCTAAATACAGATATGAATTGAATTTGCCAGATATCATCACTAATATTGGCGTGAACTAACTCATAAATTAAAACAACTATTGATAGTCAACAGACTCTGGAACAGCATGTGTGATTTTTAAAAATTAGATATTACCCTTCAAATTAAATCATTTTCAATAGGGGTCGCAAAAGAAAGAGATTAACGAAATAAAGCTTCAGGAAAATTTCCACGTTGTTGGTAACATAACTAGACAAAGTCCAACTAGTAATTAACATTCATTACTGGTCAGCCTGCCTTATACAAGTCAGTAGACAGCCCTTTCTTTGGCAAAGGTTTACTTTTTTTCTTCACAAAGGAGTCTTTGGCATTAAATGAAAGGGATAAGTCAAAGCAGGCAACAACAACAACAAAAATAGTAACAGTTTGGAAACTATCTTCCTTCCATCATTCCTTCCTGCTTGAATGCGTACTGTCCAAAGTGGATATCTGTTCAACTCTAAATTATTCATGTTAATGGATGATTATCGGTAGAAAGGTGCTGATAATCCGAAATGGAAAAAATCGAAAAATAATCTATTTCAGTTTTGGAAAATCTTTTCAGCGTATTTATCATTTCAATTATTCCTAGCATGAGCTAATATGTGTATTCATTTGTAATCTCTAAGTACATAGTAACTGGCCACTAACTCAGGGAGGTGCTCTGAGGCATGCTGGGTAGCTAGTGGAAATTAGAACAGACTGGTATTCAGCTTCCAGATGAGCAACATCAATTTCATTTATTTTACAGTTCTGTCCAGCCTTCAAAATATCAATAGACTAGCACAGCAGGTTGGTTACTAACCTTTAAAAGAAAGGCTCGGAAAAACAATGGGGACAAAGAGTATAATTGTTTGCCCATAATGTATTCATCTGTAAATTATGCACAGCAAATGTTTAATTACAAGTCTGATTCTCCCTAGGCACCCAGCATAAGCCCCTGCTGTCTTCTCCATCCCATCAAGAATGCAATCTCATTTATTAGGAAAGAAAGTTTCTGTTTTTTAAAGTTATACAGTATAGAAAATGTTTTTAAAAGATTTAGGACTAACTACCCTTTTGGACCCGCCTTGTCACTACCTCTTCTCTCTACTTTGTCCTTTCCCACTTTAGAAATAGGTTGAAAGACAAAGGGATCCAGCGTCCTCTAAGATCTAAATATACAGTATGAGAAGCCAAAGACTGAACATTACCCGTTTCTGATTTTCTATAAAGTATTTTATACATATATGTACTAAAAGTCAACTAATTTTTGCCTTTGCATTCATGAAAAGAAAACTCCCTGAAAAGCTGGGGAGAACCTCTTACAGAAAATTTCTTTGAACCTAATTTTTATATCTGTATTGTGCTCAGAGAAGCCACCTGGGCTCCAGAGAGACTATCTAGACCGTGGGGGGGGGTGCGGGGGGAGGGGTGGGAAAAAAAGAAGAAGAGAGAGAAGGAAAGACGGAGGGGAAGAGAGAGGCGGAGAGAGAGACTCAGAGCGCTGGTCCTTGTGAGCCGACAAGCTAAAAATACGCCGGCCCAGTAAACAAATCCCGTTCCATCCCGACCGGAGCCACACCGTTAACCTAGTAATTATGAGAAGAGGAGTGAGATCACGCAGCCCCCGGCTTACTCATCATCAGCTTCTAAAGTTTCCATCGGCTCACGGCAACTTTTCTTTTTTCTAAAGTTCATAAGCCTGCCCTAGAACCAATCTCTCTCTCTCTCTCTCTCTCTCTCTCTCTCTCACACACACACACACACACACACACACACACACACACTTCTTTTTCGCTCCCTTCCTCCATTACTGGACGCACCTCAGTTTGGCTATCGATAGGGGAGAACAGCTTGTTTTCTTTTCATTTTACTTTTATATTGAGACTTTAAAATGAACTTTATCCTACAATGAGGGTAGTACCCTGCACTCCTAGCCACCTTAAAACTCCACCATCTCTCCCCGAAAGTCTAGCTGATAAGGGAGGACCGTCCAAACTGCCCAGCACAGTTGACGAAGGGAGGCCACGAACGGGGAAGGGGGGCTGGGAAGGCGGGACGCAGGTGAAAGGGAGGAGTAACCGCGGAAAGGTTGGGGCCAAGCAAGGAACAGTCAGGGCGAAGAGGGGGTGCCGAGAGGAGGTGGCTCAGGGTGAAATATAATCAGAAAGGAGATGGAGAACAGTGGCGATCAGAGGGTCAGAGTTTGGGAGTCTGAAGAGGCAGGAGGGGCGGGAGCAGACGGGGGAGGGTGACAAGGCGGGGGCTCCGTTACCCTCGCGGCTCCCGGGGCAAGGCCCTAGGCCGGGGCGGAGCGCGGGGCCCGGCTGCCTCTCCTCATTCCTCTGCTGTGACCCCGGGGTCCGGCCGGCCCCTCCCCCGTCGACGATGGAGGCGGAGGCGGTGGCAGAGACTGAGACCGCCGCTGTTGTTCCGCACAGGATCAGGAGCTGGAGCCAGACGGGACTGATCTGGACTGGCCTCCCCCAGTGGCTTTTTGCCTGCTCCACACTCGACTCCGGCTGCTGGTTCAGGATCGGTGGTTTTCGGCCGTCCGGCCGGAAACAAGCGCCAGTTTCCGGCCGGAGCGGGTTGGTGGTGACACCCAAGCGGCCCCCGGGCCTCCTCCCGCCCAGCCCCGCCCCGCCCCACCCCGTAGCAGCCCCGCCCTTAGCGCCACTCCCCTAGCTGCGGCCAGTTTGGCGCTTGCCCCGCGCGTGACCCCGTGTTTTCCTGGCCCGTGTACCTAAAGCCCCTGTTCTGGAGAGTTCTTGAACCGGAGCTGGAGGGCTACTGGGTGGACTCTTGAGACTTTGAGGTGTAGTCAGTTGGACACAGCCCTTTGGGAAGAAGCAGAAAGAGGCGGGGTAGTTCTAGAAAGGTGAGAGGGATGAAAATACTTAGACTGAGAAGACTGAAATTCTAGTTACTCTACACGATCATTCTGGGCTGACCGGAGGAAAATTAACACTTCTTCCAGACCAATCTCCACCCAGTTAAGCACTCTCCCTCCTTCACTCCTGCAGTGAACATAGTGTAAGATGTTAGGGGAAAACCCGAACGAACTTTTTGGCCAACCGCATACTTTTCTCTGTAAATACTCACTATTTACTTACTTGCATAATGATAATACCCTATTGACACATCTGCCTTAGACTGTTAGCGCAAGCAAAACAAGTTATGTAGTGTTTTTTTGGTAATACCTTTTAACAGCCTTGTACAACAACCATGCTGTAGCGTAGTTCAATTCACAAATATTGAGTCCCTACTACGTGCAAGGCACTGTGCTCATTGATCCTGGGGACACAAAAATGAATAAGACATAATTCCAGGCATCAAGGGTCTTACGCTTTAGTAAAACACAAAACTGTATTGTATAAGGCAGAACTCACATATGTGCTGTGTGATTTACAAGGACCTATGGCTATGGGAACATAAGCCTTGCCTGGCACATAGCAGACCTTCCATATTTGTTGAATGAATAAATATTAGACGAACGTGGACAGTTTCAAGTAAGAAGAGCCATTTAATAAATACCTCTTTATGACAAACACAAAGTGCAGCCAGCCCCTGCTATAATCTGACCAAAGAAATGTAAGTTTTTTAAAGTTTATTTATTTATTCTTGGCTGTGTTGGGTCTTCATTGCTGCGTGGGGGCTTTCTCTAGTTGCAGCAAGCGGGGGCTACTCTTCGTTGAGGTGCGAGGGCTTCTCATTGCGGTGGCTTCTGTTGTTGCAGAGCACGGGCTCTAGGCGCGCGCGCTTCAATAGTTGTGGCTTGTGGGCTCTAGCGCTCCGGTTCGGTAGCTGTGGCGCTCGGACTCAGTTGCTCCATGGCATGTGGGATCTTCCCGGACCAGGGCTCAAACCCTTGTCTCCTGCATTGGCAGATGGATTCTTAACCACTGCGCCACCAGGGAAGCCCAAGAAGTGCTACATTTTAATTCAGATTCCTAACATTGTGGCAACTGGTTTGCGTTTTCAAAATGTTGTGCCCATTAGGCCTATTTAAAAACAAATATTACAGTCAACTTTTCTGTCCCCTCACTACTTTCTGAAGTCTTCAGTTTCTAAAGGTAAAGAGGGGAGCATAGACACTTTAGAATTAATTATCCAGCTCAAGACTAGAAAATTGACATCTGAAACAAGAAACTTCCTAGACAGCTATATCTCTTGGGAATATCCTGGATTTAGAGTTGAAGATTTAGGGCCTAGGGCTATACCAAGGCCAAGCAGGTCAGAGTACCTAGCATGAGGCACATCCAGGACCAGCAATACAGGTTGGCAGGCAGAGGCATTTGGGGGACAAGCATGTGGGGACTACAAATTTTGGACACTGCTCAGTGGCAAATTTGAGAAGGAGTAGGATGAGACTTGGTCACCAAACTCCATGGATCACACCCACCCCTTGCCAGCTAGATCTGAGGTAGGAAGAAAGGTCCACAGATGAGGGGCCTCAAAAATTTAAAGCTATCTTGTTTCATCAAGGCCCTCCCAGGACCAGGTTATGCCCATCTGTTAACTACGTCTTTCTAGTCTTAACTCCACTACCACAGACTTATTATGACCAGGTATGACGTTCAAAGGCCTTCTCCACCTCTCAGTACAAGGCTGACCTTTACTTTTGGCAGTGAGTACAAAAAGTTTCCAAATTTGAAAGCTGGACCAAGTTGCTGGTCAAACTCATTTAAGTGACCACACTTTATAGGCTTGCCTGGAAATTTAGGGGCCAGGAAGTGATGGGGTTGCAGTTGCTTTGTGCCTGTTTCTTGCTCTGACCATCCATCACTCATTGTTGTTTGTGCAGTTGCTCAATGGGCTGCTTGTTTTGGGTCAGCCCAGGCTGTATGGGTAGCAGTGTGGTCAGCCGGGCTGGGAGCCAGGCCACCTGGGTTCTGGTCCCAGCTCAGCCAGCCCCTAATCCATTAAGTGATTCCCTATTCCTATGTGTCAATTTCTCTGCCTAGAAGCAGGGAACCTCTTTTGTAGTGATGTGCAGCCATTCAGGCTGTCACTATGCTAAATGCTCAGAAGCAGCTGTCCAGTGTCATTGTGGGAAGTCAGAACACAGGTGATTATTTTTTGCTGACAGGTAGAAAAACAGTAAGGGAAGTAAAAACAGCAGAGAAAACCCTACCAGTATACACAGGGTCACACAGCCTTATCTGCCATTCAGTACAAAGTTCTCA